AGTACGGAGTACTGGATCGTCACTCGATTTTCACTTTATTTTCGCTCTCAACTTTCACTTGGGACCTTTCGCCTTTTTCGTTTTTACTTCCGCAGATGTTATTTATGATTGTGGGTCTTTCCCTCTGATAGCTTGTGATGAAATGTGGAGGAGGAAATGTCGCCTGATCAAGAAGCCAACGGGTTCTAGGTATGCGTACTAGTACATACAGAATACATACTCATATATAGATAGATAGGCAGGCAGGTAGACAGTTTCCGAAAGAAAGTTCCTGGATTGCCCAGGGAAAAGAAACGCACATACACACACATTGTTGGATGAAAACGGGGCAACCCCCGCTAAATCCCTGGGGGGAAAATCCCCTATCATTATTTTTTGCTTTTTATTTTATTTTATTTTATTGCTTTTTCGGCCCTTATGCTTTTCTTTTCTTTTGTTTTGTTCAAAAGGCAAAAAAGGGAAGGGAGAAACAGCCATAGGGTGAAAAAGAGCCAACCTTCCGCATTCCGGCTGCTTCTGGTTGGTTGTTCAGGAAAATTCTAAGCATCCTCATCCTCCTCCCCGGTCCATGGGCCTAAAATATTATATGGAATGGACCAGAGCATGAAAAAATGGAGAGAAAGAAGTGAATTTAATATACTATTTCCTCGCTTCGTGGAGTTGTACCAAATCAGCAAGGACTCGAGAGTAGGCCTGAGGGGAGAGGAAATACTTCGGATCTATCATTCTCACTCTTCCATTTAAACGCGGAGTACGGAGTACCTACCTTCCATGTACGCTGGATGTGCTGTGCATGCTCCGCACCAGCAACGTAGGTAGTGGAGTTCTCACGTCTATGTCGTCATGTAGCGCTGGTGGTACCCCTGTTTCCTCTAGGTTGCTTGATGGCATCATCATTGCATGATCTGGCCTAGTACGGAGTACTATATGCGGGACGTCGCTAGTCGTATATAAAAAAAATCTGCCCCTGCCAACAGCCACAGCCCTTATATTTTCCCTCTTTCACTTGCTGTGCCTCAACTCACCTTCCCCCATATGGGCCACATCTGCGCATGTTATGTAGGGCCATTCTGCGGGAGAAGTGATAACATGATCAATAGTCTAATGCTGTCTGAGAGAATATGACGAATTGACAATAACATTATTGATGAGAGTGCTCATGAATATGCACAAGGACATCCGCCCAGTTCAGGTTCGCCGCGGAAAAACACTTGTCTTCCCCGCCTAGCATCATAGCAGGATTGCACATGAGTCCATCACCGTCAGTTTCTTAGAGCAAGCACCTTTTGTCTCTGTCTCTCTCTATCTCTCTGTTCTATTTGTTTTTCTTTTTATATATTTATTTTTTCGTCCTAACACGATTTGACCACCTTCTTCCCCCTTTCCTCTTTCTCCACCCATCAGCGCTTTCAGATGATAAGAACATCACCAAAACTAATGCTGCGATGGACCTATCATCAGGGAAAGCAAAAGCATAGACTGTCCGCCGTGACGGGATAAATAATAATAAATACAATGCAGGAGACGGAGTTTCTTCTTCTTCCCTTTTTTTTTTTTTTTTTTTTTTTCCTTAAAAAAAAATTTCTAATTCTCATCCGCCATCCAACACAAGGGGGACGGGGGAGCCCAGTCAGCCTCAGCCGCTCCTCTCTCTTCAAGTTTCTCTCCTGTGCTTAAGTCCCTCATATGATATATCCTATGCCCACTCTTCTGGTTACGATATAATATTGTTTCCCATTCCGCAGATCCCACAACCCCGGTTTCATTTGGATCGGGTTTGGGGTTGGTCTGGTTGGGCTGGGCTGGGCTAATAATCATAAATCTCCGCCAGAGTTGGACTTGCATGAGCTCTTTCCTTTTTCTTTGGTGGAGATGCGATGCGATGCGATGGGATGGGATGGGATGGGAGGGGAGAGGAGGGGAAGAAGTGAGAAAGGCCGTTTCCCTCACCGCATCCTCTATTCCTTTTCTTTCCTCACTCACGCCTAATGTTTTTTTTTTTTCTCCTTTTCTGTTGTGGTTGTGTGATTCTGATTTGCCAGCCCGCTTGCTGGGGTGTGATGGCGGTTTGGGGGGTTTGGTTGTTTTGGTTGTTTTGGGTTTCTTCGTTTCTCTTGGCTATGTAGTCATCTCATCAGTAATCCGGCCGGCGGGGGGGTTGATATCTTCCATTCCGCGCTAGAGGTTTTCCCAAAGCACAGTTTGAAAAATGGTTGGTTGCCAATGGTTTGAATGGCCCAGGCTTATTGTGCATGGCAATAGTGACAAACGGCATCGGATAGGAGAGTTCAGAGAAGTCTCACACACAACCCCCCACACCACCACCCACGCCCTGGTCCTGTTTTGTGTCGCGGGGTGAAGCGTATTTGCATGTCACCTTTGGGTAGCTAACTGCTTCTTCCCCCCTCCGCCAAAGCAAATTGCCCGGAAGAGAAAATAAAAATAGGGGAGAGAGAGTAGAATAAGGATATCATAAAAAATGGGAAAAGGAAGAAACATCAAGGATGAAGAAGTGAAGGCTAAGACGTCAAACCCCCCTCTCCTCCCCCCCCCAATTCCCCCCCCCTGAACCCCCTTCACTCGCTGACAAGGCGGAGGTTGGCGTGGATCGATTCCGTCACTGTGCAGAAAACCCGGATGACGTCAGCCAATGGTCGACCGACCGCTTATATAAGACTCCGGGTGGCTGGAGCTCCGGCCTTGGGCCTTGCTGCAGGGAGGCTGGCCTCGGCTGTTTCCAGCCTCCGGAGCAGGCTTGGCGTGCCGAGGTTGTTCCTACAGTGCTGCGCAATAAATTGTGAAACCATTGAGACCTTGTGTCAAAATCCACTAGTCCCAAA